AGCAACAAATTCTAGAATGAAAGGCGCTATAGCAACAAAATTATAGAGCTTTTTGCGTCAACATGGTAACCAGGTTGTTGTAGCTTGCTTAATAGAAGGTTCACTGCTACAGTGAGAATTTTGGTGTTGCAGTAGACATAATAATGTTGAGGACAAGAGCAAGCGCCACATTTAAGCACTATAGTTATGAAAATCTCATTGTAGCACAATTACATAAGAAAAAAGTTGCTAAATTGTTTTTTTAAAAGCCTATTTTGTGAAGATAATTAAAGAAGAAGAGATGGAGAAACGATAATATATGACATTATGTAGCTGGATAGTTCTTCATAGTTTTAGTTTTAAAGTTTAGGTAACTATTATAAGTATTTTTCTAAGGAGAATTCTTTAAAGAAAAAAGTGAGGCACATTAGTAAAGCTGAAGTTCAAGAGAAGTAAGATTATAGAATCTTGTAAAGGAACTTCTATACACACTAAGTTTTTCTTTCTCTTCTTTGTAATTGCAATGATGATGTTTAGGATTTATTTCTCTATTAAAGATTTGTACTTTATCAACAATATGAAGTAATTCTATTTATTGGGGATTAATGGATTCAAACCTTATATTTTAGGTTTAGCGAATTAATATCTAGTTTGTATATTGTGCGTGATGATTGTGTTTTGTTGAACTTAATAATTTTTAGTATTGAGATTATTAATATGTTTATGATGAAGTATTGAAAGAAGAAACCATGTTCATGAAAATTAATTGTATACTAGATCGATTTTTGAGAAAATTTACTCAAACAGTGTGTATGATACACTATAAGGTTGAATAAGAAACCAAAAAGGACATTCAAATTTTATAAGTTCAGTTTAGTTTAACTCTAGAGAGACAATTAACTGTAAAAATTTCAAAAAATATAATATTTATTTAATTAACACTTAATTAAGGAGACGACCTGAAAATAGTATTTGAAGATTGATTCTCTTGTTTGGTAGTTAACAGTAACATAAAAAGTTATGTTAAATTATAAAAAATCTATCATCGCATGTATAATAACAACTAAATTTAATTTATAAATATTCTTGATAGACGATGTACATGAAATAAACTTCCATATATCTTTGATAAAAATTTATTATGGCTTAGGTAGCTTAGATTTAATTTTATTTCTTTTTAGTTTAATTAATCAATCAACTCATGGTTTAGTTTGCCTTAACTAACATTAAAAGTATGATGAACTACAAAATCATATCAAAATAATTTTATTTTGGGAACGATACTCTACATGCACTTATTTGATTATTACACTTGCTATTGGAAAAAAAGTTTTTCTTCGATCACTATCAATAAAAGTTGAAGAGAGAAAATGAAAGATTAAGCGAGAGAATGCGTTAGTTGTTGTAGGATAGATACATTAATGTTATGATTTGTGAATGAATTAAGGTTATGGATGGATTTATTTGAGCTCCTAATCAACTAAAAATGTGAACTCGAGATTTAAGACAATAGAGATTAAATTAGATGTTCAGCAGTTGGTGATCAATTTAACTTCTTTTTTTTTTAAAAAAAATGTTTTATATTTTTGGTCCGTATCAAAGACTATTTCTGATTAGATTTAAAGCTTGGAGGTAGAACCTACTTTAGTTTGGCCGAACATGGTTTTTAGGTTAAAACTAGATTTTAAATACAATTTACACATTTTTCTTCAATGTTGGGCTAGTGCTTACGTGGCATGGCAATTAGTGTCTAAAAACGGGCAATAAATTGAAAGCGGGTTTAATACCATAAGATTATGACTGAAAATTGCCCACCGAAAACATAATTATTTGCAGAAATACATTTTTCTTCTCGGCAAGTCAATATTTTTTATTTCTAAAATCTCAAGTCTGCAAATTTTGTAGAGCCGCAGAGGTGACGAGAGAGAATCGACGTGCTTGAAGCCCAGCAACCTTCCGTTTACGGCGGTTGCATATCATCCAACCAGTTTCGACGGTAAATTTACACATTTCTCGTGTGTTGATGGTGGTATTGATGCGAATTTTCTCTTCGTTTTCCTCTTTTTTCTGGAAATGTTTCTTGTGATTTAGATCCGAGGTTGTTTGTAGTGAGCATTGCTGCAGATCTGATCGGTTTTGTGATGAGTTGGGCATGCTTGGTTAGACTAAATCGGACTACTCAATTAGATTTTAGGACTTTTGTTTTTCGTTTTTGATTGATAGATCTTAGGTTTTTGATGTGATCGACTGTTGGAACTGTGATGATCGTACTTCTGTGTGTGTCTGTGTGTGTGGTTTTTCCTGTAATTTTCTCAATTTCACAATTGCATTCCATTTATACTTGGTTCCTGAGGAAATGTGGGAAATTAAAATGTGTAAAATTTTGCGATGGGGGTGGTGTTAGTGATGGGATGAGAGAAAGTAATGATAATGTGGACAATTGGAAAAGAAAAAAAGAGAGATGGGGGAGGCGGTCAAGTCCAGTGTTTATGAACCTTAAAGTGGAAAAGGAGATCATGGGAGTAAGTAATTTTTCTATGTTATCGCATTAGTTTGTACTGTAATTTGCTTCTTGATTATCAAGGGATGGATTTGTTTCTTCTCTATTGGAACCCACTCGGTGCCCTATGGCACGTGTTTATCCTTGATGATTAGTACATCATAAGTTCATTTGGCGTTTAGTGCAAATATCATTTTAACCTAAATTATTTGAAATTCATGCATGCTAATGTAAACTACCCATGGAAAACTGGGAATACTTATTGTTGTAGTATCCATCATATTTTTTTCTCTTTCTTGCAATCTTAGTTTATTTAGCATGCTAATCCCAACTCTTGGAGAACTTTAATGATGTTGCATTTCTGGAAATGCCAAACTGATATAGAACGGGAACAAGTGAAGGTTGAATTTCTTTAAGCACCAAAAAGTGTTTTTATAATATGTAAACATTACGTGAACTCTGTACATGTTTAAGCTATTTTGGAATATGACCTAGATTTATGAGTTATTTTGGTTGAATCTTGTTGGTTTATTTTTTCAGGATGAGGTGAGATCTTACTAGTGGTAGAATGATGTAGCATCTTATTTTCTATTGGTACTTTAGGTATTAGGCTTTGAATGTCTTAAAGAGGGTGCCAGCCATAAGTTACCAACCTGTGCCGTCTTATGGGCTAGATATGGTGGCCAAAGGAGGTGGCAACCAAAAGTTTCTAACTTGCCACCTCTTATTGGATGAAAGATGATGGCAATCTCATGGCCAATATTTCTTTTTGCTAAGATTGCTTCTTCTGGATCTCTTGGCACCCATTTTGCCTACATACAAGATATTCGATATAATGTGGAGATATTGTTATTGGAATAGAACTGAAGCATTTATTTCTTTAAATTCTAGTTTCTCGCCCTTTATTCAACTCTTTTCTTTTCCTTTATTTGTCTCTCCCCTCTCCCTGTTCCCCTCACCTTTATCTTTTCTCTCTTCCTCTCGTAGTCTCTTCTGGTTCTATCGTAAACTTGGTTAAAATAATGCTGCCTGTTAATGTTATTTACTAGTGATTTGGAATCATTAAATAATATCCTACTTAAAGTGTTAGTAGAGCACATTTTATTTTCTATCTCGGTCTTATTTTTCTATTTCTCTCTTGTTCTATCTCTCCATCATAGTTATTGGAATTCTACTTCTTTATTCCCTTGTATTCTTTCTCCCTTTTCTCAATATTTTCCTTGTCTTGCCTTTCAACAAAAAAAATATTTCCCTTGTGCTCTTTCGCTGTTCTTTTATTTTCCCAATCTACTAAGTCATTGAATTTCCACTCGTCGACGCAACTCTTGATCATTCTTGTAAAAAGAAATGACAATATTTTAAGATGGAGTTAAACTATCCGTTTATTATTATTCATTATGCTATCTGTTCTATTATAAATGACATATTGTAGGCAGTCATTCGGCCTCACACAGGATGTTGCTTTTTATTTATCTGTATTGCTTTTGAATGCGCCTTGGTTTACCTTTTCCTTTTTCTGTGAAGAGGATGTCTTATTCTCCGTGATTGTGTTTATTCTCTTTTTTTTTTCTTAATAATACTTCTTCTGTCAGAGACAGAAAAAAAAAAGAATATTAACTGCCTTTTAGTCTGAAAGCAGGCCCCTTTTACCTATTGTTTAGATAATGGAGGTACATCTTTCTTTTAGCTTTTGTAAATTTTTTTTTTCTTTTTGAGAAATAGCCTATACAATGTTAGATATAACTTGTGAGTGAAATTTGGTTGTAGATCCCATGCACAAAAAGGAACTTCACCAGCAAAAATAGCTACTACCCACAAATTTTACTTATTGAAAGACTTTAGCTATGCTATTATCATGATGGTTTTAAGAAATTCTTTTCCTTTGTTTTTCAACAAGTTATAGTATTGGACATTTGGTATCTTCCTTTTATGTTTGTTTTACTTGTTGTTAAGTAGTTATAACTTTTACATGTATTTATTATATTTATGATTATGGTACAATTGATTACTCACTATTAGTGTTTTTTCTTCTCTCTTTTGCTAATGAACTATCCTTTTAATCGGTATATTAGGGTGAAGCACTTTATTTCACTTCACTTCTAATTTTGCCTGGTTAAAAAGTTTGTGTTTTTTTGAATGTGTTATAGCAAAGAAAATACTATTGCAGCACACACGAACTAAAGCACAAATGCGAGGGAGAAACAAAGATAATTTTAACATGGTTTAGTGATGTACCTACTCTATGAAGCCAACTGCAAAAGCTTTCACTAAATGAAGAATTGAATCTTACAATTAAGGTTTCTTTATCTAGTGGAAAGAGGAAATCCAGAATTAATAGAATGTTCTCCATAATAAAGAACTGTCCTGGACCCAAAAGTATTGAACTGTACCAGAGGGTGTTGCTTGCGCTCTGCAACGATGAATGAACTCACAATGGCTTTGCCAGGATAACACCCATATTTGACATCACTTTTTTATTTTTTTTTCTTGTGTTTTTTTTGGGGGTGGGATTGGGGATATTATAGTTCTGTTCAGTCTGATCCTCTTGTAAATAGTAATCTCTCTCTAAATACGAGCGACAACTGGATACTATGATATGATGCATGTGAACCAAGGGACTGCTGATGCAATGCTGATATTTTCTCATTGGTTTCTTGCTATTACGCAATAAAATTTGAAGAAGCATTGAAATTTATGCAGCACAACTCATAATCTATTTACTTTCTCAGGAAATTTGATTGGTGTTCAAGGGCTCTAGCAGGAAGACATCTTGTCTAAACTTAGTATCAAAAAGGGAAGTTTGAGAACGAATCATCCTGGGATGCAACTGTTTCATCAAAATATAGCATGACTTTCTTACTCTTGTGAGTGGAGGCAATCATATTTTGTGGAGAAAGTAAAACATAAAAAAATACAGCGACCAAGTTCAGGGGGTGACTTGCCCCAAAGTGGCGAGCATAACCCCTCTCCTATTGCCCGGAGATCAAATTTGTCTCAAATCATTATGATGGATGATGATGTTGAGAGTGGCAATAGGCTAAGGTCTTTCCCCAACATGCGCAGCAAGCCCTATAACCCGCTGGTAAGGACCTGGATATTCATTTTACTTGTTTTAACACACAAAACCAAAGGGAACAAAATTGTGTCAGCAAGAAAATGGATATAAAACTATGTTGATAAAGAGACTTGATTTATCATTATGGAAATTTGGTGATATTCTATTCTTTGAGCTAGCAATTTCCACCTTGTAGTGAGGCCTAGTAATGTAATTAGCATAAAAATAGGACAGCAAGTCATACACTCGGCCTTATCTAAAAAATCTGCCAATTAAGGAAATACCACTAGCACTTAATATTTGCAAACATCTTTGAAACAGAAGAGAACTGCTGACACCTAGATGCACTATGACCTGCAGGTCATAACTATACCGGTGCATAGAAGGTTAAAAAATAACTGCTGCATCATTAAATGACTTAATCATCTTTGCAACTGATTTACCTTCCTTTTTCCTTCCTTTTCAATTGGGTTTCCATAGAAAATTCATGTTTCTTTAGGATTCCATACTGAACTGAGGATCTAAAGAATTTAATAGATATCTTGACTCCTGCTCACCCTACTTACATATCAGTTATACACCCTCATTGCCATGTTCTACCACTTCTTCTTTCCTTTTCTGAATAAAAAGGATTCCATATAGAATTTAGGTTGTATGCTTTCTGTTCCTTTTATCTTATTTACTCATTCTAGCTTTTCTTCTTTCCATCCTACAGATCTCATTAATTGTTCCATTATGCAGATATTTCGCTTTTTTATGGGAATAAATGTTCGTGTTCTTTTGATAATTTTGCTTTTGGGCTTTGGGGCAATCTTCTACATTGGAGCACGTACTTCTCCTGTCATTATCTTTGTCTTCACAATATGTATTATCAGCTTCATTTTGTCAATATATCTCACAAAGTGGGTGCTGTCAAAGGATGAAGGACCTCTTGAGATGGCTCAGGTACCTTTTTTTTCGCTAATGTAGTTAATTTATGTGTCAAATATATATATTTCTGTACCGATATAAAAGAATAAGAAGGTAAATATTAATCATCTTGTGCCTTCTTATATACTTCTTCAATCTACAACAGGTAATTGATAGAAGCATTATCTTTTGTTCTTTTTTAAGTGACAAAAAAAAATCATTCACAAGGAATTAACGGGATGCTTCCCAAGTACAAAGAATTTACATAAAAGAATGTGACAGAATAGTCCATAAACATCTCCATTTAGGTGCACGTGATCCTTAAACAAAATATGAAAAACTAGAAACAAAAAAATCTAATTCTATCTAAAGGAGAACAAATGACCTAATAAGCTCTTTTGCGTCTTTGCTCCATAAGAACCAAAAGATAGTCAAAGGGATGAGCGACAGTGGCCTTGTTTTTATTTCTGAAGTGACAAGGGGTTCATTAACAATGCACCACAGGGTGGCACCCATCTACAAAATTGCAACTGGTCATTAGCCAATACATCATAAAGATGTACAAAATCAGCTACTAAATTATGAATGTTCATTAGCCAACAGATAAAAGAGGTCTAAAAATCAGCCTTAGTAATGATGGGAGACCTCTATGCAAAAGATTTAACCGAAGCAAACAATCCCTAAAACCCACAAAAGGGGTTCTGGAAAGTTCTCTTTTTCCATAGTACCCAAAACACAACTAGAGGGATGAGAGAGAACAATTTCCTTAGAGCTTCCAAATCAGGGTATCATCTTTTGCTGGATGGATTGGGGCTATAAGTCTAGGGTGGTAAAGTAATAGTCCACTCCCTAATTTCTCACTCGTTTAGGTTCTGGAGGAGAGGTGGGAACCATTGAATTCTGCATCTAAGCACTTCAAAATAGTCTTCCTCTTTGCATACTTGAACCTAGCAATAGAGAAAACCAAAGGATACTTATCCTTTGAAGGCCTATCATCACACCTAGGATCTTTTGAAAAAATGGACCAGCTTGCCATTCCCCACAACAAATGGATCTTAGAGAACACTTCCAACCAGTCTTTACCAATCGATTTCCAAGGGCTGTACTAGAAGGATTCCCTACCTTTTCTAGTGCCCAAACCTTCTGCAGTGATATTAAGTTTAGCTTCAATAAGATCCTACCATTGTGAGTCCATGCATGATAAGAATCTGTGTTGCCATTTAGCTAATAAAGCTTTGTTGAAGCTTGTTAAAGATTGAATGCTAAGGCCACTTTGACACCTCGGCCTCTTGATGATGTTCCAAGCCACTTTGACACCTCGACCTATGCCCATCCTTGAAAAATCAGAAGATTCAACACTATTGGCAGCGGAGTATATGCCTCACTAAGATTTACTTGATGCAATCTGAAAAGAAGTTAGGTAATTACTGGTGTTACAACTATTACAGTAGTAAATTTTTCGGATTGTGTTGCATGGTGATTGGGAGGTAAAAAAAGGCCTGATTGTTGCTAAAAAATGGTTTATATGTCTCATGAATCTCCCCTTATTCCTGCCATTCTTTCTCCCCTTCATAATCAATACCATGAGGGATTTACAGAACTTGAAGAGGCTTGTGGCTGATTTATGTTGGAAAGGGATGGGGCAGCAACTTCAGGACCTTCACTTTGCCAGCGGACTTTTCCAGTTGTTCACTTCTTGTTTGGGCTGAAATTTCTATAGATTTTGTGGTTAAGCAAGTTTTAGTGGTTGTCACTGGATTCTTTTTCCAAAAATGCACATGTCATACCTGTTTCTCCTCCTTATGTGCCAGTTTTCGTTGCTCACCTGTGTTTGGATTCTGCTTTCAAGTTGCATAAGTTGCTTTAGACCATGGTGAATTGCAAAGATGGGACTTCTACTAGTCTCTTTTAGATTAAGTTGATTTGGTTGGGAGAGGTCAAACTTTTCCTTTAGTTCAGCCTGTCACCATAATCTAATGGGCAAGCTAAAGTGGTGAACGGAACGATGGAAAGGCATTTTTATTGTTTCACTAGTGTTTGCCACATAAATGGTGGATTTGCCACTATTTAACGGTGCCACAGAATGATGGAAACACATTTTATTGTTTCACTCCATCCAGAAAATTGTTAAAGTAAGTTACTTGAATAGTTTGAATGCTTGGAGATTTTTGAGTTCTCTCTAATGAGCCAGACATTCATTGAAAATAGGTCAGAAAGGAAGGAAGAAACAGAAAGCTTCTGTTTCTTCACAATTTGATTTTAGCATAAAAGAATCGATTACAAGATCTAGGATACTAGAACATAACAAAAAAAAAAGGCTTTTGATGGCTTTGTCCCCTTAATAGTGTTAGGAAGTGATGGTCTGAGACCCTGGGTTTTTTATTGAAGAGTCATCTTATTTTTTGGTGAGGTCTTGGGGACCTCATGGATATTTTGATTGATGTGTAAGGCTTTTTGTACTTGAGTTGCACTTCCTTGGTGCTTTATTATCATGTGGGGTAGGGTGTCTATGCCCAGCCCCCAATGGATGTCGTTGATCACAGTGGCTTCTTATTGATGCCCTGTTTGTTTCACTTTCTTCCTGGCTCACTGTTTCTTTTCCTGCTTAAGGACCTTGGGATTTCTAAATCACAACAATGCATTCGTTCTTTCCCCCCCATTCTTCTTCTAGCCACTCTACAATTTTTTTCCCTCTGTGGTAAATCTAAGGAAAAAATTGTAAAGGTAACTAGGGAAATTGCTTTAGATAGAGTAAAGTAACGCAGACTGATTTATGTAATAAATCTGTAGTTTTTTTTTTTTTTTTTGTTTTGGGTGAGAGCATTGGAGGAGATGAAGTACTAAACAATAAAAGAAAATCCCAAGTAAGATAGCTTCATCATGCTAAAAACGTTTTATCTGTTCTGAGATTATTCTTTTATGTCCTAGATATCAGACGCTATACGTGATGGAGCTGAAGGCTTCTTCAGAACTCAGTATGGGACTATCTCTAAGATGGCGTTCTTGCTGGCCTTGGTAATCCTTAGCATATATCTATTCCGGAGCACAACTCCCCAACAAGAGGCATCTGGTTTAGGAAGGTGACAGCATATTTCACAAATGCCAATAATGAACGTTTTCTTGTGGTTTTTACCCTGATGATAAATGCTTTTGCTGGTTCAGGTCAACATCTGCATTTATTACTGTTGCTGCATTTCTTTTGGGGGCTCTATGTTCAGGTATTGCAGGATATGTTGGAATGTGGGTATCAGTTCGTGCAAATGTTCGGGTCTCAAGTGCTGCAAGACGATCTGCAAGAGAGGCATTGCAGGTTGTTGACGGTAGTCAATTGCTTTGTCAATACTTTAGATTCATGTTCATGTCTTAAAAATTGGCAAAAATGTGCAGATAGCTGTTCGAGCTGGTGGTTTCTCAGCCTTGGTGGTTGTTGGTATGGCTGTTATCGGTATAGCCATACTCTATGCAATATTTTATGTTCTATTGGGCGTTGATACACCGGGTTCGATGAAGGTTACTGATTGTATGTCCTCACTTTGTCTTTTCATGAATTTTTTCTGTTGTACTATTACAAAACTTGATTTCACATGTCCATGATTTGTTGGTATCATTTTATGGTTTAAACATTGGAACCTTTAACAGCATTGGTTGGTTGGTTTCTCGTATCAAGTCCAGAATGCTAAAAAGTGCACAAACATTAGTATAACATGCTTCCTGTTTGAGTAGACTATGCCATTTCCCAAGAGCCTAGCAAAAGTAGGCATGCATATTAAAGTTTAAAAACTTGGAAGAGTTCTCTAGTTTTTAATACCGTAGGATGCAGACTCCCTTCTGTTGGTTAATGCCAATATAAGAAATGTTTTTGTTTGTATTTCAAAAAAGCAAAGAAATGTTTTTGTTTGTAAGAATTACAAACACCCAGTTTATCAAATTTAGAACTATAGCTGTAATGAGAAAATAAAGGCTTTAAATTTCTAGAATCTTTTTAGATAAAAAGGTCTGAATGTGATTTGCTTTTCAATACTAGATCTAGGACCTCAGAGATTGCGTGGTAATATCACTATATTTCGCTTTCCATAATGGGAATGAACATGTTCATTATTCTTTAGCGAGAAATGAAGCATTATTAGAAAGGAGGCCAAAAGAGATACATTACAGGTGGACTAGGTGTCCACCAAAAGGAAACAAATAAAAATAAACCAAAGCTAGATAAATGGCTGAAACTACTAAAGTTCAACAAAGAATAATGGACTAGTCTGTATGCAGAATAGACAGCGAAATATTCTTGTTGATTGGATGTCTTATCCTTTTGTTTTTTGTTACTCTCTTCCCTAATGATGATCTTTTATCATTAGAAAAAAAAAAACGGCAAGCAGATATGTGGTGCAGAAATTCCAAAATCTCTAGTCCCTTGATGCCATATGGGCCTTCAGAAAAAATCTAGATTAAGAAATTCAATTGCAGGGAACTGGAGGGTTTGTTAGGGCAGGGGGAAAGGGAGAGGAGTTGTTTTGAAAAAAGAAATTACTGCCAATTTGAATATGGAAGCTATCTCTTGGAGGCAAAAGGCTAGGGAAAAATGACTAAAGGAGGGAGATAGAAACACCAAATACCTCCATAGTTTGGCCAATTTTAGAAGGAAAAACAATTATGTGGAGGAGATGTTTTCTGATGAGGAGCCGGTGAAGGGGAATGCTGCTTTGAGGGAGAGAGCTATGATTTACTTCCAGCATCTTTATAAAGATGAGGAGAGAAGACCTAGGCTGGATGAGTTGTCCTTCAAACAGCTTACGGCCGACAACAGGGAGAGTCTGGAGGCCCCTTTTACTGAGGAAAAGGTATGGGGCTGTTTGGGGGAATGTAATGGGGACAAGGCCCCGAGGCCCGACGGCTTCAACATGAAGTTCTATCAAGAGTTTTGAAACGTCATTAAGGATGATGTTATGGCTGTTTTTCATGAATTTCACAGAACTGGAGCTTTTGTGCAACCCATAAACTCTAGTTTCTTGGTGGTCATTTCTAAGGTTGTTGGGGCCAAAAATATCAAAGCTTGTAGGCTATAAGCCTTGTGGGTAGCTTGTATAAACTGGTCTCCAAGGTTTTGGCTAAAAGAATGTCCAAGGTAATGGGGGAAGTTATTGGAGAGAACCAAAACGCTTTTGTTGAAAGTAGGCAAATTCTTGATGTGGTTATGGTAGTGAATGAAGTAGTGGACGACCTGGTGGGGCAGAAAAAAAGGGTATCATTTGCAAAATTGATATGGAGAAGGCTTACGATAGGGTGTGTTGGGATTTTTTTCTATGTATGTTGGAGAGCATGGGTTTCGGGAGTAGGTGGAGGAAATGAATGAAGATTTGCATCTCAATAACTTCTTTTGCCGTGATGGTGAATGGTGGCCCTTCATCTTTCTTTAAGGCCTCTAGAGGTCTTCGTCAAAGGGACCCTTTATCGCCCTTGCTACTTCTCATGGTTATGGAAGTCTTTAGTACACTTATGGAAAGGGCCGGTGAACTGAATGTGATAAAGAGCCTCTCGGTTGGGGTTGGGGAGTTCGCGGTGAAGGTATCCCATTTATTTTTTACTGATAATGCGTTAAGTTTTTGTGAACCGGACCTATCCTCGCTTATTCACTTGAGGTGCCTTCTCAATTGCTTCCAAATGGTGTCGGGTTTGAGGATAAATTTGAGAAAGACTGAAATGGTTAGAATTGGTGATAAGGGGGATGAGAGGGAGATGGTCAGAGTGTTGGGATGCAATATTACCACGTTGTCAATCAAATACTTTGGGCTCCCATTAGGGGCGAAATTTGAAGATACCAAAACTTGGGATCCCCTAGTGGATATGTGAAAAAGGCTTGCGGGGTGGAATAAGAACTTTCTTTCTAAAGGTGGGAGGCTTATATTGATCAAAAGTACCTCAACAAATTTACCAATCTACTACCTTTCAATAGTAACTATCCCGGCTAACATTGCTACTAAACTTGAAAGGATACAATGTAGATTTCTTTGGGGTGATGATGAGGGACATGGAAAATATCATTTAGTAAAGTGGGAGGAGGTGAAGAAACCCGTTTACAAGGGAGGACTTGGGTTAAGATCCATTTTGGAGTTGAATTCTGCATTGCATGGTAAATGGCTTTGGAGGTTCGTGAATGACGGTAGGAACTTGTGGAGAAAGGTGGTGGAGACTAGATGGGGTGACTGGGAGAGGGATGGGGGGAGAAGAGGGAAGTATAGGTGTCATGGGGCAAGTCTGTGGAAGAAGATCAGGGATAACAGCAGCAGATTCTTGGACTGCATCAGTTGGCAGTTGGTCAATGACAGTGACATTAATTTCTGGAAGGATGAGTGGGTTGGTGACTTCAAGCTGAAAGACAAATTTCCTAGGATCTATGAAATAGCTTGTGAGAGGAATAGTGGAAAAGGCGTAGGAGAAGGGAGATGGGGGAAATGGGTGGTGTATTAAAGTCAGAAGAAACTTGAAGGAAGATGAAGAGGCAGAATACTGCAATCTGCTTCTCTGCCTTGCTGATATTATGGTGGGGAATCAGAGGGATAGGAGGATATGGAAACCAGAAAAGAACAGGAGTTTTTCTGTGAAATCTTATTACAATTACATTGTCAAAAACGATGATGAAAATGTCTTGGCAGCACCCTTCAAGAAAATTTGGAGGTCAAAAGCTCCACCTAGAATGGTTTTCTTTACATGGGAAGTGGTAAAAGAAAGAATCTTGACCATTGACATGTGCAAAGCTGATCGTGCAACCACTTGTTACTTTGGTGTCTGCCGGTGCACAGCATTTGGGAGTATATGTTCGGTATTATGGGGATGACTTGGGTCATGGTGGGTAGTTTAGGTAAAGAATTGTGGGCATGGGTTGGTTTATGTAAAAAGAAAAAACAATTGCTATTAATTCCGGTTACCATTTTTTGGGTTGTGTGTAGGGAGATGAATGCAAGGGCTTTTGAGGGAATTGAAATTGATATTATAAACATTAGGGATAGATAGACTAAGACTTTTGATGCTATTTTGTTAGGTCATGACAAAATAGATTGGGAAGATATTGGGATAGTTATTGACCACTTGATTGATATATAATTATTTTGTATAGGGACGGTATCCTTTTGTACCTTTGTGCATAATAACACTTTTCACTTTTATCTCAAAAAAAAAAAAGAAATTCAATTGCATGATTTTGTTATCATTATGGTGAAAAAGATCATTATTTAAAAAAAAAAATCATTATGGTGAAAAAGAAAATGCTTTATCTAATTGAAAATTTGACTGGGGGAACTTGTTTTAATTTAGGCATTCATGGATAGGGATGCAGAATTAGAGTATCCTAAAATGTGTGTATTTTACTATTATGAGATATTGATATGATTGTTTTTTTGATAAAAGAAGAAGACTTTATTGAGAAAGAGAGAATGAAATTACAGCGAAGAAAAATAAGTTATCCTCCAAAATGAGGCAAAGAAAATACAGCCAAAAAAAACCCAACTGTGAGGAGAGAGAGGGAAAGAGAAACAAAAAACAGTGCTTTTAATAAAAACGTCCCATTTTCAGTGGAGAACGGATGCGCTTTGAGCATAAGGCAGCCAAAAAAGTAACCCTCTGCCAAAGTTCAGTGTATCTGCTGTTGAAGGTTGTAGATTTACGAGCAAGCCGAATCAGCATAGACCTTCGAAGAGGACACCTTGACCATAGAGCCAAATGCACCATTTGTGTGATTGTGATCTTTATGTATTATTAGAGATATGTAGCTTATTTCAGAAATACTAAAATAGGCCTGTCATTGGTTTAAAAATCTTATTTCTTATTTAAAGTCATATTGGCTAACAACATGTGATTGTGTAATTATGCGTACATACATCTGTTTTCTTAATATGCACTTTTAGCTTCTCTAACTCTCAAGCTCGGATGTTGATTGTTACTTCTAGTGCCTCTTCTCCTTGTTGGATATGGTTTTGGAGCGTCATTTGTTGCCCTCTTTGCTCAGCTGGGTGGTGGGATATATACCAAAGCAGCTGATGTTGGGGCAGACCTTGTAGGAAAAGTAGAGCAGGGAATACCAGAAGATGATCCTCGAAATCCTGCTGTTATTGCCGATTTGGTATTACTCCTCTCTTTTATTGACTTCTTTATTTGAGGGTGTATTAATCAATGTGTTTCAAATAGTTATATTTCCTGTTGATCTTTGTAAGTATACATGATATGTTATTCGGAAATGGAAATATGAGAAACTATTGTGTCACTAGCTAGTGATATAAGCTTATCTAAGCATATTTTTTCTCGATATATGTTGCTATTGTACACTATCTATGATATAAGCCTATCATTATTTATCTGTATTTTTTTCAGAGATTGCTGTTTATGGTTCTAATTATTGACCTCGGTATAATACTTTTTATCCTGATTTTTACTTATCTATACTTTTATCTCAATAAAAAACTATTTTTTATCTTGATTTCTACTAATGTCCATATATTTTGAAGAGATATGCAAAATCATGATATCTTATTCTCCAAGAATATATTCTTATTTTCTTAATAATACTTCTTTTTCTATAAAAATATAAAGAAATCTGAAAAAGTATAATGACTGATAGTGTGGTTAACTAAAAAAATAATGCTCTAATTATGCATATTAAGGCTAACGTAAAAACTAGGACTAGAAGTTACTAGGAATTGAATGGAAACTGAACGAAAAGGGCTTATATGTATTTAGAAAGGGTGATGTAACATGAATTTTTGAACCATGGAGCATAGTTGAAAAGAAAAACATGTAACTAACACATAGATTTCTGCAATGATGTGATAACAAGTTGCTGAATCTAGTTTTGTTATGAAGAAATGCCAAATCTAGCTTGTCCGATAGATTTGGTGACATGTAAGTATAGAGGAGGAAGTTGTAAACACATGTTTTTTCTTTTTGAGAAATAAACACAATGTTTAAGTGAGCTCATCCTTGTACATAACTGAAGAAATATCTATGGACTTGCAGCATGAAAATCTGTTGTTCTTCTGCAACAGCAACTCTTCATTCGTTCTCTGATATAAATGGTTCACATAAAAGTCTGTACATATTGTTTTTGGCATTCACAGGTTGGAGACAATGTCGGCGATTGTGCTGCCCGAGGTGCAGATCTTTTTGAAAGTATTGCGGCAGAGATTATCAGTGCTATGATACTTGGTGGAACAATGGCGCAACGTTGTAAGATTGAAGGTTAGTCCTGGCTGGCGCTGGTTTTTTTTCCTTTTCTTTTTAATGTTGATTTTTTTTTATGGTATCATATTTTGATATGTGTGCCTGTAACATTGCGTGAAAATCTTCTATCTTTTGTTTTCTGATCTATGTGCGAATATTGAACGAAAATACCCCACATTTGGAATTTGTTCAAGTAGAAGGTTAGCTTGTTAGCAAAAAGCATAGGAATTCAAGAAGATATGTGTGATGTTTTATTGTGTCAAATTTTGTCCCTTTGCTGAGAGGAAAGTTGGCATGTTTTTGCAAAGTCACTGTAGTTATATGGGCTGAAGATAAATGTTTTTTCTGGCCACCATAGGTATTGAACATATATATCAGCATATTTTTGGATGTTCCGTTGGTGTCACTTACCAGCATATTTTTTTTTCTTTGAAAGAAAAGTATAGAAATGTACTGATGATTGGTGCCAAAGGGGCACCGCCCATGTACAAAATTCACATATCGATAAGTATGTCTACAACAGAAGCAAAATCAATATTACTATCAATATCATGCTCAAGTATGGTAAAGCCAAAATAGTGAAGCTGATTGTCTTTTCAAGTGTTGAAGTCTAATTCTTTTCCGTTAAAACCATGTTTGTTTCTTTCACTTATCAGCATATATTTCTGCTTGAGTCATGTTTGACAAAAACACAGTCATTTTTACTAGCTACTCACTACTAATCACTTTTGGGCGGGTTTGCATTTGGAATCAGCCACAACAAGAATTGAACTTTGAAATTGTACATGTTCCGTTGGTGTCACTTATCAGCATAATTTTCTGCTTGAGTCATGTTTGACAAAAACACAGTCATTATTTTTACTAGCTACTCACTACTAATCACTTTTTAGCGGGGTTGCATTTGGAATCAGCCATAACAAGAATTGAACTTCGAAATTGCTGCATCTTTGGCCCTGTCAAATTGTATTTTATGGCATAATCTTCTGTGGTAAATTAGATTAACTTTTTTCCCATTTTTTGATGCTTTGCATAATCTTTGAGATCATTATCAGTTAAAATTTGGTGTTCTATGTCATTTAGCAGGCTCACCCCCTTTTATTTTCTTTCTGCAGATCCATCTGGTTTCATCCTTTTTCCTCTTGTTGTTCATTCTTTTGACCTGGTGATATCGTCAGTTGGAATACTTTCAATTAGGGGCACCCGTGATTCCAGTGTGAAGGTTCCAATTGAGGATCCAATGACTATTCTTCAGAAAGGATATTCTGTTACCATAGTTTTGGCTGTCATTACATTTGCTGCGGTAATGTGTCATCTATAATCTACTTATTTTCTTTTCTTAATTAATTGTTAGTTGGACCTACTATATAATATTCTCTCTTCTTTCTCACGCATTTAATTGGTAAAATACTATGAACATAGTAAACTTATTACCATTAGGAAGCCTGCCACATTGTTTTATTTTGAATTGTTTCTTGGTTTTCTTTGAATGATAAATATCTTGTTGTTGTTTAAATGATCTGCAGTCGACCCGTTGGTTGCTATATACTGAACAAGCTCCTTCTGCATGGTTGAACTTTGCACTGTGTGGGCTGGTCGGTATCATCACGGCATATGTTTTTGTCTGGATAACCAAATATTATACCGACTACAAGCATGAACCTGTTCGCACTTTAGCTCTTTCGAGCTCCACTGGTCATGGGACCAACATAATTGCAGGAGTTAGTCTTGGTCTGGAATCGACTGCTCTTCCTGTTATTGTCATAAGTGTGTCGATTGTTTCTGCTTTCTGGTTGGGTCATAACTCCGGGCTGGTGGATGAAGCTGGAAATCCAACTGGTGGTTTATTTGGCACAGCGGTAGCAACAATGGGAATGCTCAGCACTGCTGCTTATGTTCTCACAATGGACATGTTTGGCCCAATAGCTGATAATGCTGGTGGAATTGTAGAGATGAGTCAGCAGGTATTTGTTGACTAATAATTCAATGTGGGATAGATGCCAATAGATCTAAGGCTCTGTTTGTTTAAACTTCTTTGCTATCTCTGCTAACTTTAGCTTCAGCTTAAACAAACACTGCAATTTCTCTACTCAATGTGGAACAGATCAAACTAATTTGTTCATTTAGATAAACAGAAATACCTTTGATTTGTTTAAAAGCACTTAAGTCAGGTTATAGTAAAAGGCACCAATGTCAGCTTCTAAAAGCTCCAGAAGTTCAGCCCAAACAAATGGTACCTAAAGTAGAATAGACTCGATTGACACTGACAGGTGCAGGACAGACCGGACAGACACCAATAGATGTAAGATATACAATCCAGTATCAGAGATGGGGAATTAATAGAAGAAACTAGGAGGGAGGAGAAAAAATGAATTAATAGAAGAAACTAGGAGGGAGGAGAAAAAATGGCGTAGAAAATAGTGTTTTAGAAAAAGATTTTTGTCTATAATTTACTCCACAAGTACACTATCTTCATCTGTGTTTTCCTGAATAAACATGTATCGATCTTGAAAAGAAAAATTGAATAATATTTTCACCTAGCAAATGGAGGCTAAGGAATAGGAATTTGAGAAAGAGAACCATAGGGAGAAATGAGAGATATTGGATTCAAAGTTCAATAATAATTTGTCCGCCATTTTAGTCCCATAACCATAGTCCTTGTTATTTGTTATTCTTAGTTACAATAAGATAACTTTTCCACTTACTATATTTTGGGTATTATGGAAATAAAGAAATGGTAGGGCTTTTGAGGGTATTGAAGGTGAGTTTTCCAAAATAAGAGATAAATGGTTGCATTTTTTTGGATCCGTGTTTTTGGGGCATGATATTATAGGGATGGAGGATTTTGGGAGAGTTTTCGATATTCTTACACAATTGTAAATTCTTGGTATATGGGTGGTACCCCCTTGGTATCGTATGAATATCATTCTTTACACTTTTTATTTTAAAAAAAAAAGTTATAATAAGGTCTTGTAAGTATCAAAATGTTTCAATCAAGTCCTTAGACTAATTTAAGGACAAATTTTTTTAGTTGAACATATATGTTATTAGAGAACCAAATTGCAATAGAAATGTTTTAGTCCAATTTGTAATATAGCCTAGCCCTAATTTTTATTTGTTAATTGTTGGCTGACCAAAAGCCTTAACATGATGCTCCTGCATGGGCGCAAAATGCACCTTCAAATAAGAAACTAAATTATTATTATAAATTGGAAGCAAAATGAAATTTCTAAAAGCCTATGTAAATTTCCTAAATAAAAATAGTTGCCTCATTGTTTTCATCCTCTTTTTTCTCTAAAATTCGAAATGTCAAAATTTACATAATTTTATAGACACTCATTTTGCTAGAAGGATTTCACTTTAGTTAATCTTGATTCTCTGAAAATTTATATCTTTCCTTAAGTTTGTAGTTTCATTTAGATGTAAATGTCTTTACAGCCCGAGAGTGTTCGGGAGATCACCGATGTCCTTGATGCTGTTGGAAATACCACTAAAGCCACCACCAAAGGTTTTGCCATTGGATCTGCTGCTCTAGCGTCATTCCTTTTGTTTAGTGCTTATATGGATGAGGTATCTGCATTTGCCAACGAGCCTTTTAAACAGGTGGGAAGGTGTACTTTCTATTTTTATTTATTTTTACTTTTATTCATGTCCTGTTATGATGTTTTTCCATACTTATTTGCAGGTTGATATTGCTATTCCTGAAGTTTTTGTTGGTGGATTGTTGGGCTCCATGCTAATATATTTGTTTAGTGCATGGGCATGTTCAGCAGTTGGCCGAACTGCTCAGGAAGTTGTCAAGGAAGTAAGAAGACAATTTATTGAGAGACCTGGTATCATGGTGAGATTTTTTTGTCTGGTTCATTTTGTTGGAAAATGACTTCAGTGTTTATTGAAGTACTTCTGTAACTTGCTTTCAACAGGAGTATAAAGAGAAACCGGACTACGGTCGCTGTGTTGCCATTGTAGCATCAGCAGCTTTGAGGGAGATGATAAAACCTGGTGCCTTAGCCATAGTATCTCCTATTGTTGTTGGTAGGTTAAATAATCCTGTTACAGTTATTTATTCGTTGTTATTCCTGTCCTTTTATTCTTCACTGGGTGTTATTGGATTGCATTTTGTAACAAGTTCTATTAATTGATTGCATAAAGTGTAAGTTGAAATCATTGTTGGTTTTGTGTGCTTGTTCTTTTTGTATGATTGAAATGAAAGAGAGGTACTTAAGGTTCAGTCCTACAATGAGTGCATGGTATTTCTTGTCTCTAAAATGGGCCCTTGGTGATGCTTAGATGCTATGTCTGGGAAGAGTTTGATAATGTCTGCTTATTTGTTGCAGGTTTTTTGTTCCGGATTTTGGGATACTACACAGGACAGCCTCTGCTTGGTGCTAAAGTTGTGGCTGCTATGCTGATGTTTGCAACAGTCTCTGGTATTTTAATGGCTCTTTTCCTGAACACAGCAGGTGGTGCATGGGACAATGCGAAGAAATATATAGAGACTGGGGCACTTGGTGGCAAAGGAAGTGATTCTCACAAGGCAGCAGTTACAGGAGATACGTAAGTCGTGTTTTTTTTTGTCTTTCCTATGTTGTCATCATGGTCTGAATTATTATGGTACTGATAGGAAGTAGTTCAGTATGATGATAATGAGATGATAATGATGATAAGGATGACGGGGAATGGAAATTAATGGCTTTGGAGTATAGTTTTTGTCATGGAGGCAGCATTGATGGTGTCTCTGGGCCTTGGCTAAAGCTGCCAATATTGGATGATCTTCTGTCTTACTGTTGGCCTACAGAGTCGAGGGGTTTGGTTAAATTGCCAAATTTAGTTTGCTTATCTAAAACTTTGCTGCTAATGATTTAAGCATCCTCTGCTCAAAAACGTTTTCAGCCATTCAACTAGATGAACAATATTCCACTTATGGTGAGATTTATGATGTGGTACAGAATTTTTTTTTTGTTATCTGCTAAATTCGTTTGCGCCAAGGCACGAAGAGTAGAGGAAAATTTCAGTTCTATCACTCGGCAGGGAAAATATTTTTCCTGGTTGTCTTAGTTTCTTTGTTTATTGGTCTTCAAAAACCTAAAATATGTTTCTATTTAATATGCAGTGTGGGAGATCCATTCAAAGACACGGCAGGACCTTCCCTTCATGTCCTGATAAAAATGCTTGCTACCATCACACTTGTCATGGCTCCAGTCTTTCTGTGAAGCAAAGTTCAAATTTCTTGAAGTTCTCACCTCCAGATGGGACGCACTAGCCCGCTTAGTCCTTTTAGGTATTTTTTTGCACATATATAGGTAGGTGCACACCATGGGTGCCTGATGAATTTGTTTTTTTTTTTTTACGTCATTCGAATAAGAAATGTTAAATAGAATGCTCAATCCAGTATTTACAGTAGAGTTTCAAATTTTCAGTAGCATTACAGCAACACTTAACTTGAGGCATTAACAAAGCGGGTAATGGGCATACTTGTTTTTGTTTATTTATAATTTCATGTACTGGTTTCAAACCATTTGAAATGCTCCATTCAAACTGTTATTATGGAAGGGAAGTGAGTAGTCACTATCCTTGGAAGGAGTTCGAAAATGAGTGTTGCTTACATATGTTCTACAATAATGTGATAAGTGGAAACCTGTGGACATTCATTTAGCATATGAAATATAATCCTCTGAACCACTTCTTACATCACTATCACTACCAGCATTGAGAGAAATCTTGTTTCCAAAGATTATAGCACATAAATTGTGTCTTTCTGGAGATTATAACAATGTAGAAGTTGTTTGAATTACCATTATTTCTAGGTTACTTCCATGCAATAAATATTAATATACTAAATGAATTTCAATTACAACTACAACTAAAAAAATATAATATAGGATGAGTACAATCCTTCTATCATCCTTTTTACCCCCTGTTCTACCATGCTGTTCAAAAGAATGGTAATCCTAGGACAGGAACTGAGACAGAATGACTTGGGACTGAAACTACCTGGTTGTGGTCTTAGTATTGCAACTGACTTGAATGAAGTTTCTGAAGCTGAAACATGTTTGACTCCATGTGTAGTCAGGGGTTCGATTCTTGCCTATGCACGATCGAGGGCCGACATTGGGCACTCGGGGCTCTACTCCTGCCCAGGCATGTGATCAGGTTACTTTGTGAGAGAATCACGATTAAATAGCTAGGAGTTTATATTCTGATTATAATGTAGTACACCCAATTGTTCTCATTCGGGTTTGATAGGTCACTCTAATACAAGCCTTTAGTCGCAAACTTACATACAACCGTTCTCATGTTAACTTCTGCTAGCATGTGTTGCCACTTAATTTCCCAGATCTTTACAGTTTGTGCTTTAGTTCCATGGCCGGATGCTTGTTCAATGAGCAGCTCACCAACGAGACATTAATCAAAGCATAGACTATTAGCAAAAGCACTTCTACAATAACGCGAAAACTAGAATTCAAAGTTAATTGCTAAATTTGGATTCCTGAACTCGAAGCTAATTCGATCGTAATTGTTAAAAGAAAATGAGTCCAGATATGGCCCATAGCCATATTTATAAGTGGGTCGATCCCGATTTATGGATATAATATATACGGCTGCCGCCTCACACCCTTTTATATATATATATATATATGTATATATTATTTTGTTTTTTATTTAATTAATTAAATTAAGTTTAATTTTCTAACACTCTTCTAATTTTAAATTTTTGTCCATGTTATCAGTGCAGATTGAGGTCGGAAGCTTGAAGAAACTGTGTGTAAAATCTGAAAAGAAAAATTAAAACTAAAATTTAATTAGGAAAAAATATTAATTAAATGAAAAATTAAAATAAATTAATTAGTAAATATACATAAACATAAGTAATAATTTACTAGAAAAAAGGAAAAAAAAAAAATTAAAGAAAAGAGAGGATAGGCTTAGGGGGCTATACATACATATATATATATATATGTATGTATGTATGTATGTATATATAGGAGTGGGCAGCATCCTATTTCTCAAATCAGCTACTTTGAATTGTACTAATTTTTTTTTTTTTTTTTCCAGTCGTTTACAAAATTGTTTTTTGGTGTCTAATTCACCAGATACTTACTTATATATCGTCTATACAACAACTACCTAAAGATTTTTCAAAATTTTTCTTACATTATACTAATTATTTTTGGTGTATTTCCAGTAAAAGATATATAATAAAAGATTATATGTTTTACTTTCTCACATAGTTGGTTCAAGAATTATATTTGTGCATCCTGCGTGGTCATATATTAATACACTCATCTTATAATCTTTAATAATTTGAGGTTTCGTTAAATTTTATAAACAATTTAAAAATATAATAGAAATATTAAAGTAAAATTAAAAAAAAAGTTTTAAAAGCTTAAATGGTAAAGATGTTATTTTATTTGAGAAAAGAACAAGAGAAAACACTGCATATCCACAGAAACATTCGGCTTCAGCAAGCTCCAAGACCTCTTTTTTGTTTCACTCCATCTTTACAAATCTCTGTCTTCCATCCATTTTCATTACTATATATATATATATATATATATATATATACAGGGTCATTCGAATTTCATTCATTTCAAACCAAAGATTTTTACTTTGTCGTCACAACAGTTTCTTACGCTGATTAAATTTTGTGACCTGAGTGCTTTTAA